CTGTACTGCTCCTAAACACAGTGAAGATATTATTTTGGACTATTAAAATCAGTTCAAGTTCTGGATGCATTTCCTAGCCAAAAGACAACCTCATATAAATGCCTGGAAAATGAGACAATTATGCTAAACCAGAAACACATGGACAGCAATATCTTGGAGACATACCTTAGGGCGAATGGGTAGAAACTGCTCTATAAAGTAGGAAAAATATCTTAGTAAGTATCTTATATGTGAGTAAATACCACAAAGGAACCACAGATAAATCAATTTTGTCAGAAAAAAGTATTAATGAGGATACTAAGGTCTATAAATTAATGATTTCTCAATACAGAAGCCTATTACAATCAAGATTCAGATTTGGTGAGTTTACAAAGGAAGAGAGGTCTTACAGTTCCTTTCACATAAGCAGAATCCTTGACATCAGAACTGTTTCAACCAAACTAAACTTAAAGGAATCAACCAGAGGCTAAATGCTCATTTTCCAGAGCTCAGAGCAAACTATCAAGTAAGAAAGCAGCATCAGAAGTGTGTATGCCAAATCTCACAAACAGAAATGCTGAAATACAGCTCACTAGTCCCCAAGGTAAAAGCTGAAGTTAGCAAGCTGCCAGTTGTGAAGAAAAGCTACAAGGGCGTTCTCCTCTAATTTACAGTCCTTCAGAGTAAGGTGGCTGAGGTCACAAACCAAATATTCACTTAGAAAGTAAACTAAATCACAGTGCACTACCCCTAAAAATCCCAAACAATTTGTAATGTCAGAGACTCCTTGCTCAGAAAAGCATTATTACGTGCTCTTTTTAATGGAAAATGGAGGGCAGCATTTGTTGTCATTTGGCTGCAGCACTACTTTATGCTAGAGACAAGTGAATTCTAATTTTTTGGTTTGGGTTGAGTTTTGAATTGCTGTTTGTGGTTTGGTGGTTTTTGTTGGGTCTGTCCACCCACCCTTTCTGGTTTTTAGCTTTAGTAGCACCCTTCTCTGTTCATCTGGAAAGCAATTAATCTGCTTTTTGAATCAAGAACTGAGAGCTGGAAAGAACCCCTTTAGAGATGTTTAAGGGACATGCCACCACTAGAAACATAAATGTATTGGAGTGCAGAGGAAAGGGAAAAATTATACTTCTGCACAGAAATGAATGCAAACATGCTTATACAGCATTTTGTGAACATAACACATCCCCACTCTACCCAACATCCTGACTATTTTGTGTGGTCAGAAAACCATGAAAGACATAAGCTTGTAAAAATGAAAATTCAAATTGGCACCAGGACATTTAAAAAAACTGCACTCAGAGTGGGTGGCAAGATGGGTGAATAGAAAAAAATCCCCAACCCAAACCAGCTAACCACTCACCCCTAAGCAGCAGGATTTCTCCCTAACCAGTCACCAACCTGCCATTTGCAAAGGTTCACAACTGTAGGCATTTTTAATTAACAGCCAGTAGAATATTGGTAGGGCATTCATGTTTAAAAAACACTTATACACAAACCCTTTTAATACAACAGCTTCATTTTCAATATCACAGTGGCCTCCACAGTTGCTGTGTGTAGGCTCAAGCCCAACCCTCTGAGTTTTCACAGTTCAATGGCATTAAGTTGTTTTGTAGTGAGAACCTGGAAGACCTGAGGGACAAGACATCACTTGGGAAACTAGGTGTGCCAAATATGAAGGCATTTTATTCTCACTTGGATAAGTGACAAGGATGTGAAGCTGGAAATTCAGCCAAGGAGATGTGCCCCAACATGTCAGAGGGGTGGAAAAGCAGCAACTGTGAGGAAAGATGACTGCTCTGTGAGCATCAGGTCTCCAGCCCTCCTTTGTGAAGTGCCTCACTGCTGTGCATTAGGCACACAGGACTGGAAAGACTCAGTTATCATCATGCCCCAATCTCCCAGCAATCACAGGCACCCTTTTGAGGTAATGGGAATATTTGTACTGAATCTTAAACACTCATCCTTCCCCAGTTTTATGCAATTCACTACACTGACACTGAGGACAGCACACATTGGCCAGTTCTGACGATTACTGATGCCACCACTCACAGGATAGTATTTTTAGAGGTACCTCTTGCAGTACTACCCCATCATCCAACTAACAGATTTCAAAAACTTCCTGCCTGCTCTCTTTATCCAAAAACACCTGAACTGTAATATCTTAAAAAAAAAAAAAAAAAAAAGAAAGAAAAAAGGCAAAAGGCTCTAAGAAAATTGATGTGAAGAGACAGTTCATCTGGTGAGCAGGGTTCACTTTACAGCCAGCTACTCTGCTTATTCTTATGCTAATGCTGGCTGCTGGCACAGAATTATTCCAGAATTAACACTCCCATCGATCACCACTCATTTTGGCTGATTAGGAAGTCAAGCTTTTCAGACTTCCCAAAACACAAGGCTCAGAACAAAACTTGCCACCTATTTCTTTAGTCCTGCTTCGTTTACTGCTTCACTAGTAATAGCCTAAACCTTACAATGTTGAAAATCAAGTTTTATCACTACTTGTACCACGATGGTTAACTGCATTTTTGTGTATTTACTGTTTCCTGTAGCTGGAACATAAGGTGTTCCATCCAGAACATCCAGGTGTTACATGCAGAAATTAACGAATGCAGCAAGGTTGTTTTTTTCTTCCTGTTCATTCAAACTTGTTATTTTAGTAACTAAGATTTTAAGCAAACATACATAAATGCTTATGCCTTTAAGCTTCAAGACAAAGTACTATTAGCAGACACAAAGAATTAAGAGATTCCTGCTCTCCAAACCAAACACACAACAAATAGCTCCTTTCTGCATTCATTGTAGCAATTTCATCAGAATGGAATGAGCACTTTTAGCTTCTTAGAGCCAAGACTATTAAGACTTCAACTCCCCAATAATCCATCATTCCATTTTTATCTAGACTAAGTAGATAACAGGACAGCTGATACACATAAGAAAAGACAACTCAATAGTAATAAAATGTGCACTGTCCTAACAGCTGCCTGTATTTGTGCAATTCCCCCATTTAGAACCAAACATGCCATAGATTTCTTGTATGTGGCAACCCTCCTCCAAACCCCTCCTAAAAATTATTTAACTCTTGCAGAAAAGAACTTTGTCTCATGCAGAAGAGATGTAATCAAAGCCTGTTATCACAGAAGACAAAAAGATCAGCTATTTTTCTGAAGGTGGAATACTTACTGCACTAAATCTTTAAATCCATAGAATATCTGAAATGAGTAGAAGTGGCAACTGCAAGATCCAAACATAATTTGGGCTTTTTGAAAGTGAAGTTCAACAGATTCGATTTGACAGAGAGACATCATAAATTACAAGAGCTATTATAACCTGTCTACAGGTAACTTTAAAGTATGATACTACGGTGCATATATATTTCAACACTTACACCTGTAAGAGCAGGCAGTTTTGGAATGGAACTTTATCTTGATATTTAGATTTGGGTTCATTGTTTCACAATATACATGGTGCTTATGTAAAAAAGAAAGTATCAAGAATACAATTACAGTATCAGTAAAGTCCACTAGTTCTGTTTATTTCAAGCCTATACATACAGAAAACAGCCTCCTTCCCAAATACAGGAAACTGTCATTCACAGAACGGTATTAAAAGAAGTCAGAAGCATGTTTGTAAAAGCATTTTATCACACTTTGGCATCTATCACTTTCCAAAGAGGATTCAAAATGGTTCTAAGCACTTAAATGAAAGAATAAGGGGAGAATAAAAAGGTGGGAAAATTAAATGTGGTGTCCTTGTGTTTTGTTACAGCAAAGAACAGATGTCTGAGACCCCAACATTCAGTTGCCCATCTACGCTACAGCATTCAAAGTAATGACTGCCTGAATTGAAGCAGTGATCCCAATGAATCGCAACCACTATGGAACACATTCAAGCTGAAAATAGCAGATCTCATGTTACAGCAATGATCAGCAGCCACAATCTACATAAAGAGACATACATACTACAAAACTCCTGTCAGAAACAAAAACATTTGAGGTTTGCAATAGTTGAAGACTAGGTGGATATTTCCATTTTATCCCTTTAAGGGACAGTGCTACACCTCCTGCCTCCCTTATGGCAGGTTAGCATCTGAGTCCAGCTTAGTACTCAATGCAAAAAACAAGAATAGAAACAATACTGCAGCTACAGTTATTTAGAATGAAAGCACTTTATTTTTTTCCAACCAAGTTCAAAATCAAACTTAGAGCTGAGTGCACACTTCAATTCGTAGGTATTAACAAAATTTGTGTGAAAAGTTTTAAAGATGGAAATTCTTCACGGTTGCTTAAAACTGAACCATGTTAAATAGCTAGCCCTGTGTTTTGTCTAGAATTCTCATCCTCCCCTCCTCACTTCTATCAAGACACACTCTTAGTATATTTAAAGTAGATGAGAAATAAATAACATCATTAAGTCCTAAAGAATGTATGTGGAAAGGGGGAGAAAAATAGTTGCACTTAGTCTCATTCCAACACATAAACAAGTTATTTAACTCTTAGAATAAACATTAATTGTTTAAAGAAGGATAACATAAAGCACTAACAACAGAAGCATGCTCAATCTATTTTCTCTGTGAATCTTTATCTGTAACCTACAATGATTACTGTGTGTAGGATGGCAGACTGAAGGCAAAACTTGGACAACACTGTCTGGCTTTTACCAAGGCTATTAAAAACTGCTTCATTTTTTTTCTTCACTAATGCAACATCAGCTCAATACAAAGTTCCTCTCAAAAGAATTGACTGCTTTCATGAACTTTAGCATTTGCATTGTGCAAAGCTGGAATAACTTCACACCAGTACCATAATTTGCATGGTTTTGTATTCTGAAACAGTTGATTAGTTTCACATTGCCCTAGAAAACTAGGCACAAAAATAGCTGCAAATCTCCACACTAAGACAGACATTCAGTCTTCTGTAGAACTGGAAGATCTGGCAAGATGAACTGGCAAAAGCAACCACTTGCCAGTCTAAAATGTAAGTGTCACATAAGATACTTTCAAGTTTCAAAAAAAAAAAAAAAAAAATCACAAATTAACACTGTAGCATCCATCTGCAAAACCTTTACCTCTTCAATGCTAAACGCATAAAGATGTTTAACCCCAAATTTGCCTACTTCAGATGCCAGAAAATGAAAATACAGCCTGCTTTATAATGCAGTGGGGCTGATGTCACTCAGCACAGGGCATGTATATTTTGCCCTTTCCTACTCTCCCATCCCTCCTGCACCTCAAGTGTTAAAACTGCAACCTCTGACAAAGCAATCTACAGGAGGGCAAAAAAAAAAACCAAAAAAAAACTATATCTCACTACAGAGGGTAAGCTCTTGAAGGGCTGCTGCTATTTTTTTTTTAATGCCAGCAACAACCTGCAAGCACTATTAAGGAGTGTGGAATGCAGTACCTGTGTGATCCAAGAGTAGAAGACTCTTTCCTGAGAAATAGGCATAGTTCCTTCAAAACAGAGACATACATAATCATTAAGACATGCTAACTTCTTCACACTCAGCTAAATGGCATAGCTTGCTGAAGAGTAGAGGTGGAAAAAGCTATCAGTAATACCTCAACTTGGCCACTTCCATTTACAAAATACTGGACTTTTTATTCAGCCCTGCAGAAAGAGACAGTTTGCCAGAAGGATTCTTTAATTTCAGTTTAGGGGATGGGCAAATCCTGGGTCACACTTAAAAGTACTCCTTCAGCAAAACAGCCTCAAGTACTTTCAGGGAACTGAGGCAAAAGACATAGTGTTTTTCAAAGTTTCATATCAAGTGGTATAACATGCAGAACAGCTTTGTGGAGGCATCCTTCATCCTCAAGTACATACGTGCTTCTGCATTACAAGAACACACAGGAAAAGGATTAATTCTGTCTGGATCTTCTGACACATCCTAGAAATAGCATTTTTAGAAAGCAACACAAAGATTATAATTTATGCATGGGATAGCTCATAAACTTAATTCTTAGATTCACTGAAACAACTATATGAATTTAGCAGAGTTACACAGCTGTTAAGACATTTAACTCATGCCAACTTTGACCACATATTATACATGTACATTCTGGAACAGTAAAACTGATTCCTAGCCATTTGAGAACTAAAAAGAATACAAGAAGCTGAGCCTGCATATTAGTGTGAATAGTTTCAATGAATTAAGAACATGATGGAAAAAAGAATTTCATAATACAGACACCTGAATCCTGTTCTTACAGTCTAATAGCTGCCTGAAAACAGTAAAAAATTCATTTAAAATAAGGCACAGATACTAATGACAATGTTTAATACTGTATTATTGATGCTGTCAAAATACAACTTTTGGCAGTTAAAAAGAATGTATTATTTTATTAGGTATTCCTCAGTAATGATACTCAAATCAATCTTACCTCACCTCTAAAACAAAAGCACTGTCCACAGTTAGGATTTGGTAACTCTATGGCCACATACAGAATTCATTACAAGCCCATGTATCTAAATCTACATTCAAGCTAGATTTTTAAATACTAGAGTATCCCTTTAATCAATTACAACTATACTTTCTTATATTATCAGAAATAAATGGCCAGGAGTTACTCTGTCTATTAAAAAAAAAATAAAAATCTGAGTTTCCATAAACAGTACTGTCCTTGAGGAATAATCTAAGTTTCAGCAACTGCCACCCAAATGATGAAACTAAACTTCGTTACTTTTACATTTAAGTGTTCAATGGAACAGTAAAGTAATACAAGAATGTTGTCATAGTTCCTTTAGATTTTTAATTGATAGTAAGAACATTTGAAAAGTCCTATCTCAAAACTTTTTGAACATGAAATATCTCTAATGATACATAACAATTCCAGCAAGAAGACTGGCTATGTGTATGTCTCCAAATTGTCCCACAAAGTTTGCAGTTTTGGGATGCCCCAGAAACTTTGTAACTGACTGCCCTGGGAAATGCAAAACCTTTGGTGGTTTACAGAACAGTCAAACAACTAAAAGCACCAAGTTCTCATGACAGATTTCTAGTTGGCCTTCAGAAGTCAGGAACAACGATACATAAACTAAATACAATACTAAGCAACAGGAGGCCTGAAGTTATTGATCACTACAGGAGTTTAAAATTAATTTATTTAATCTGTAAAGCAAAAAACCTCTTGCGGCTATCAAAAGACTTTTCTCCTGCATGTCAATAAAAGTGCACATGCTTAATGCTAGGTATGAAAACAACCCTTGCAAGTACTTATTTTTAAGGAAGTAGTCTATTTGGTCATACATGCTGCGCATGTATACTTTTAAGTGGAGAGCTGGCACTTTGTAAGTTTTAATTGAAAAAGCATGCTTCCTAATCACAACATTAAAAAAGGCAACAGCAAGCCTAAGATTAAGACTCCCTCAGAGCTATTAAGATATAGCTTTTAAATTAAAATAGAACAGCATTATCAAGATGACAGTAAAAGTTTATAGCTGTATTCTCAATGCTGTTGTTGGTATGACTTTGCCATCATGATCAGGTTAGAACTTGATCAATTTTGCAAAAGTTCTTTGTCAGTTTCTTAAAGGAGGTAGTATAAAAAGGGTGTGATTTGAATAACATGGCCTCATCTGGCTGTAAACATTTCAAACAAGAGACTTAAATATCTATGATAAAAAGTACTGCGGAAGAGATTATTCTAGAAATTGATTTTTTTTGAACTTGAAAAGAAAAAACAGTAGATATATTTAATATATTTACTTATTTGCATGTAGTTTGAATGATACAGAACAAGATTACTGTGTTAGAAATCCACATACAATATAAAAACATTTGTTAGACATAAATTCACCATTCTGCTGACATTTGCAATAACTGTTTACCCAAGCTTAACTTCAGGTATCTATAATATTTTTCATACATGAATCTTTGTATATGTGCAATATTAACTACACAATGTGAAACCCTGATTTTTGTAGTTTTCCATCACAATCTGAACATAATAGCTATATGTATCTTAACACATTGGCTTTTTGAAACACTAGTAATTAAGGCATCTTTGCTGTATAGTTTCTCAATAGTGCAAACAAAAACTGTCTTTAATAATTTGATTAAAACATAGAAGTAAATGAATATACCAAAGTTTTTTGTATTTTTTTACATAATTGGAAGATAGTTGTGCATTTTGGAGTTCTCTTGTGAAAGAGACATTTAAAAGCTCTTAATGCTGATTGTTTTTGTTGGTTCCTTATAACTGGTTCTGCTGTCTTGTCTTCATGACAGTATAGTTCATCTTCTTTTATGCGATGATGTTGTAAGGTACAGTAGCATTTAAAGGAATACCTAGTAACTGAGTGAATCCCAAATGCAGCAAAGGCATACAGTTTTCATAGTGCACTTTCACCTCACTGAAGTAAAAGTTGCTCCTACTAGACATTTTTCCACTTCAATGTGAAGTAGATGGTTAGGGTTTTGTTAGTGGTTTCATTAAACAGCTTGACAGTTCAGTTCTCTTCTGCCAGTATTTCTCAAAAGGCTTTCAGCACATATTTCAGGGATACTTTAGGGGATTGTTTCACCACATAAGCACACTGTTCCCCCATCATGTCAGTGTAGCTGCAATAAATAAGCATTTACATCCTAGAAGGAAAAAAAGGAGAAAGAGCTATGAATAATGTGACAAACACTAACACCAACTCTATGTCTGAAGCAGGGCAACCTCAGGACCATAGCACAAGAATAATTATATTTGCCCAAATTTCAGAACCAGTTATCATGATTACTTTTCAATTAATGTTTTCAATGACATTTCTTTATGTACTAAAAAGCCTGCCAGAAGAGTAGGATTAGTTTTTAAAGCCACCAATTTTATCTGTTATTCCTTTGCTCCCTGCATGAGCAGGAAAGATCATCATCATATGATCATGTAATTAAAACGTGTTATGTATGACATTCCTTCACCCAACCCCTCCAACATTCTTGCACTACTTTTGCTCTGACTTGCTCAGGTGACTTTGGTCACAATCTATCCTGATACACATTAAGAAGACAGTAAATGAACATAAAGGGAACCTGAACTCTAGAAAAACAAACTGACACTACCTAGAGCTGCTATTCTGATCCAGCAAAAGAACTAGGCAGTCTACATTACATGCTCTCATAGCTCTGCCACTTTGGGAGTTAGAACTCAGTTCTTCTGCATCCCTGTTGACTGAAATGCTGCAAGAATTTTGTAATTATCCTTGTAGGGACATCAAAACTGAAGTCCCAGGTGTACAGCAGTCCAGAAGAAAAGGAAATAGTTTACTTGTTTGACACATCAAAGTAATCAATTCTGTAGGTACAGAATTATAATTTCACCAAAACTCCTTAAGATATAAGTGAAAGATGCAATTTTTAAGTTCCTTTCAAGTTCACTCAAATACTGCACACAACCAACTGCCTGCTGAAACTCCTTTCTCACTGTCCACCTTCATCAGGTCCCTCCACCTGGAGAGGTTTCTATCTAGTATAACTTTTGGAGCCCAATCTCAGAAAGCCATGTTTATAGAGATGAGCACAAACAGCAAAACATGGATCTACCAGACACCCTCATTATGTTACTGATACCACAACCTACCTAAAAATGCAAGAAGAGAGTCATCTCAGATAGACAGGCTCTTCTGCTCAGCACAAACTCACCATTTTCTAAGCATTAGGTCAGCAATAAGCTTCAGAATTTAGTATGTTGTCACTTGCCCCATCACCTGATGTGCAAATGCCAATGACATTCCTGGGCTAAGATTCTCCATTATACTTACAACAATAGGGACAAGAGATCTAAGAGAAAACATCTGTCTACCTACTCAACTGAGCCCTTTTTCACATCCATTTTAAGGCTCATTACTATTAGCTACTTTGTTATTAAGGAGATGCTTAGGATAATTACCATTTTAATTCACAGAACTATCATAGGGAAAACTCCAGATTTCTGTAAAAACCATGCAATACACTTGAGCATTAGCAGTAACTAAAGTAAAAGTGTTTCTGTCCAACCACAGTTTAGCATAAGTAAAACAGGAGGAATACCATAAGTGATACAACCATGTTTATTACTGAACACGACCAGAACTGGGACCAGAACTTACCTTAGCTATATTACCAGTATATCCTGGAACCAGAGTAAGATGATTCTCCTGCTCCCACAAAACACTTAGATGTTGTTTTAAAATATGAATGTTTCTGAAAGAGAATGAACATCACTTTATAACATAGGTAGTACATTTCAGTAGTCTCTTTTACTAAAATTAATAATTAATACTGCATATAGACTTAGCCTATACAATAGATATTGCCACAAGATCTGAAAAATTTTGATGCAACTTCTACAGCATTGGTATAATCCTTGATATGACTACAGCCTACATGTATTAAAACAGTAGCAAAAAAGAGAAAAACAAAGACAGTAACTTAACTATCCTTAAACTACTTTTAAGCTTTAACTTCAAAATTTTAAGTTTGCCTTTTGTAGGCAAGTTATGCTCCTACTATCAAAATTACAAGAGACTACAGAAACACATTTCAGTATTTCCCAAGATTATACTCACCCATCTTCTGCTTTTTCTGTATGTGCAGATAGTTCTGACCACCATCTTTTAATGACAGCCTGAAGCCAGTTTAAACCCACTATCACATATCTGTAACAACACATTTGACACATTATGCATTTCCCTCCCTGCAGATTATCTACAGGCCAGATAAATAAAGACTGAGATAACTTTGTAAGCAATTTAGAAAGCAACACATTTTCTATTCTGGAAGAAAAAAAATCTAGACAAATTGGTACATTTAAATACTTGCTTACACTTGCAATTTCTAAGTGGTTGCCCGAAGTTCTTGTTGAAAAAGTTGAAGAAAACTCTGCCTTGACTACATGTTATAAAGCATACTAAAACCTCAGTGCTATTCTTTTTTACTGTTTAGGATAAATAAATCTGCATAAGGGCAAAGCCAGTCCTCTCCCCCACATCCCTAACATTGCAGAAAAGAATTTCTGCACTGTTGCTTTGTTAAAGGATAAAGGTTCAGAAAGCTTCCGTTCCAGAGCTTTCTCATTTCCTGGGAAAGGCAGAGCTAGGGGAAGGGGCAGAGGGAAAAAAAGGCAGAGGATTAAAATCCATTGATTTCCAGGGCTCTGCATAGCCAGGAAGTAATAGCGTTTCAAAAACATCCCAAGCTGATACTTACTCTTCATATTTGCTTTTAAGCAGAGATTTCACTAAAGGCAAAAGATCTACACAGCAGCCAACTGAAACATATGGTTTTTCTTCCTGTAAACTTAAAAACAAGATGTTTCAGAAGTGCTTGAACTTCAGTGTGGTTATAAGCAGGTTCAAACCCCCCACTTTTTTCTGTTTGTACCTGTTCGTAAGCACAGGAAGGCAGTCTACTACTACTCCAAGATCCTGTATCCTAGAAACATTAAGAATAAAATCAGAAGTGTTACTTGTAGATCCTACTACTAGTAGTAGAAGTATATGCTTCCACTATGATTTTAAAAGTGTAGCTAAGTCACAACATTTACAGAATTGCTAAAAATACTGTGGCATATTTAAGATTGCTGTCATTTTTAGGATATAAAATAAGAGACTTGTTTTACCTCACTAAGTAGGCTACCAGTTCACTTATACTTCTCCTTCTCCAAAAGGTTAAAGCTACGTTCAGTCTCAGATTCCTGCTGAAAAGAACTTGAGCCATAGTTTCATGGTCCTGAGAAACCTGCATGTTTTTAAAAATATAAAAAGTTGCCACAAGTTAAGTAGCCAGCGATAAAACAATAAGCTACTCATATATAATCTTGTATATTCTACCTGTATGTTGATAAGTCTGTTTTAGAAATTTATCTAAGAATAGACTTAAACCCAGACATTTCCCTTGGGGTCACAAAAATATTGGACCTACTTTACAGGAAAGCATCAAGAATAAGGTTTGTACCTCTTTACCACCTAAGACCAGTATCAAATAATTAAAATGAGCATTCATGAGCATCAACCTACAATTCTCACCAACTCTGAGAACTTTTTACTTAGATGATTATTAATTTTGACACAATTTAGACACAAGTAATTACATGTATTATTCCAAACTCCAACAGAAAAGGTTCATTTCTGAAAAAGCTTGTTCTCTGAATGAAGTTCAGGCATTTTAATTAATTAGACCCTGGATTGGAATGAACACTGCAGAGTCACACAAACCTCTCAAACCAGTTAAATAGTCATTTGTGACCAGAGGCCAGTGATCTGCTCCTTAGCTTCTCAAAAAATGAATCTTTCCATCTTCATTTTTTTTACCCACCTTTCTGCAGCCTCTTTATCGTAGCTATTCTGCTCATTTCTTGAAACCATCAAACGAAACAATGTGGAAGTGCTGCAGACTTGCGCCTTCAGGGCTCTCTCCTCAGGGGAGCCCACACTTACAGCACCGTGACAAGACAGCACGGTGATCGTTTCTGACGTTACTCTCCCTGCCATGCCTCACCTTAAACGCATGCAAGCCCCAACGAGTAACAAAAATCTATCGTGACAGAAATGCTAACTTCAACATTAAGGTCCTTAAATGGCCTTCCTTGTCACAAGATCCATTTAATTTAAATATCTGGCCTTTTAGACAGTTTCAGAAGCCCTACAAGCTTCTTTTAGGTTTCTTTAGGTTTCCTCAATCAACTCTAACAAGAAATAAAGGTCATACAAACACTTAGGTTAGTTTCACACAAAGTTGATACTGCTATTGAGAATTGTTCTAATCTACCTCACCAGTTTATTCTCATTGATATACTAACATTTTTACACTTTTATAAAACACACACATGGACACGTGTGTCCTGCCAGTTCATGAAACCTAAGCATGTCAAAACAACGCTCTCCTTTGGTGCTGGTACGATTTTAACCCAGTCAAGTGTGGCAGATCTGAGCTTCTGACCTGACACAAATATGAAGAAAAGTGGCAGGACTATTGCTATTGACAACTGCATCACCATAAATGGACAGACTGTAAATCACAATACCTGATATCTGCAAAATTGAAGGAAATTAATCTAAAGAAAGAAAACTTTCATAGTTAATTACTACGAACACTTCTTTAACTGGAGTTTCTTCCAACTCTACCCACCTCTGAAAAAAATGCACTGTATTTGGATGAGGGGCCTTCTGTTTGAGACGAGCCAGAGTCACTAGAATTCAGCAAGTGTGTCCGACTGTTGTGAAGTTTTGCTGGCAGATTCCCTGCACAAGCCAGTTCATTTTCTTTATTTGCCATGTCACGGCCCCTAGATTTAGGGCACAGCTTCTTTCTGTAACAAGGCTTTGGAGTATAGCAATGAACTTTCCTTTTGCAATACACCACTTTGAAAAGAGAGAGGGGACTGGTCACCGTTTTTCCAACTGTTACTCTGAAATAATAAAGCACTATTTTAGTGAAGGTTGATCCAAACCAAATCAATTGCATTATTAAGTTTATACATATATGTATAATTATGAATTTAGCTTTCAGGTTATTGAAAACATTTTTCCCCTAATACATATCTTAATGACACTTGGGTTATGAGAAGTCATGCCACCAATATTCTTCTCTGTTTTTATTAATGCAGAGACTCATTATTATGGAAGAAAACACAAGAACCAAGAACTGTCATTAAAATCAAGACCTACCATCCATTTGTGTTTGCTTTGGTGTTATAATCAATTTCAGCTGTGACTTTCTCCCCACCTTTGTCACTCTTTAAACTCAGATACTACACAGCACAACCCTCCTACCTGTTTGTGTATGAAGCCAGCTGTTTTGGAGATTTCTTACCCTGGGAGAAAGCAAATAGAGAAAAAAAGCTGTATTATTATAAAGGGTCAAACACTCCCATCTATACTACTTAGCATTAATGGTAGCATTTAGATTGTGCACATCAGCAAGGCAATGTTATGATTTTTTTTGGTAACACTGGTCATAAAATGTTAGTTTTAATACAAAATTTCAATAAACAGAGGATACTGACAATCTTCACCACTGTTTGAAGAGGTCTTACAGTAAGTTTGCCTCTCCAGTGTTCCTCTGTACTCCACTGTCTTACTCTTCAGCCAGTAACACAGGTAAGAGGTTATAAAAAATATTTTTGAGTAGCAAGAAGCCAGTGAAAATCTACGTGCTACCAACATGCTAGATGAAGCTGTATAATTATATGGCAGATTTATTTCAATGAATGGCTTTCACCTACTCCACCTCTCACTTGTGCCATATAGGTCTCTTGGCAAGAAAGAATTTTTCATGACAGAATTGAAACATTTTTGGCTAGATTGCAAAAAAGCACACCTGAGTAAGACTGCAACAATCAGTACCTACTGCTCATATGGGCGATACAATGCACTGATCTGTGTGGCCACTGCCAGTATCTATTACAACACATACTTTTCATAATATAACTGCTATATAAACAATTTAAAGTTCTATTGCACATCTAAATATCAACTGTTTAGTAGTGCTGTGCTTCTAGATTTACACTGCTCAGAACTATACAACAGTTTAAATCTTTACTTCACTTTTCTCAGAGGACATAAAAAACCCAACAAACAACATAAACAGCTTACCTCCTTCATGATCTTTTTAGTGGAAGAAGAGATTCTTTTTCTGGGGAGATCAATGGGATGACCTTCAATAAGCAAGACGTTCTGTTTCTTAACATTGTGAGCTTCAGATGCCATAATCTCTCAAATACCTGCCCTCAAGGGAAAGATATTTAGTTGTATTTTCTAAAACATTCTGTCAGATTTCTTCAAATGCAGCTAGCAACACTAGAATTCAACTATTTGCAAGATTTTCCACTCTAGATATAACCCAAGACATCATCCTTTAGAGCACGTTAGCTAGAGGCCTTATTATTAACATGGTGAGAATTTCAAAATCCCTATTTAGCTTTCGAGAAAGGGGAAACAAAACCTAAATAACCCCAAGAAACCACGGCAGAGATTTTGTTTTCACACCAGTTTCTACACCAGCACTGAGGGGTGCCATACAAACAAGAATTCAAGTAAAGAACAGGGTAATTTATGAAACTTTCCTCACACTATGAATTCCATCTACAGTCTAGAGAAAAATAATTGGTTTCACATGTGTTTCCAAGTGTGAAAGGCAGCTAAAAACTGATTCTTGTTTTTCAGGAAGAAAGCAAGCTTCATCAAAATAACAAAGGTTAAAAAAAATGGTGAAAGATTTTCCCCTTAGTTTATTGGCAAATGTACACTCCCCCTCCCATTTTTGTCAAAATAGTGCTTTGGCCATTTTTCATACTAAAATCCACAGCTTTATTTTATGCCTGAAGTCCTTTGTCTTGAAGTATCCAAGTATTTCTATAAGAATCAATACCAAGACTGAGACAGCTGTACATATGATTTTGCATCTTTTGTAACTGATCAGAAGATCCATTGCCTGAGACTAGGTTCAACTACTACATCATCATAGAGGCACTGTTCCTGAAGTGATTTATTTAGCAAGATATCCTACGCTACTTTTAAAAAACAACCATTTGTTCCAATATTACTGTTTTTTCCCCTAAAAGGTACAACTCTGGTCTCAACATGAGTGCTCCAATCTCTCCCTTCAACCTTTAGCAGCAGCCCTATCCTTTTCACTCTGTGTAGCAGATTTACCCCACATTAAGAACTTCAGCATTTAAAAGACTAAGACACTGAGCACTGAATAAGCCAGATGGGAAACAGCTTATTAGCCACGAAGATCCATGCAGTAGCTAAAGGCCATCAAATGAAACAAGCAGGTGGTAGGTCTAAACAAGACAGATGTTATATTCAGGCACATTAAAAATCCCTCATGTAGGGTACAGTGGAAGAAAAAAAATTCTTCAAATGTTCTGGTACTCTTTAGAATTGGATCAGTACTAAAGAATTTCACTTGATATTTCTCTCTCAAAAATGGAGTATTTACTGAGAGAATCCCTTACCCTGCAAGATGAGAACACATAGCCCTCAGACTACAGCAAGAACTGTAAATGGCAGCATTATTTAGGGCAAGATCTACACAGCTGGTGGTCAAAATTTTTCCAGATATCAGTCGGGTTAAGACTGGTTCATTAACTTAATTTTTTCACACTGTGAAAGAGTGATGAGGAGTGATCACTTTGCTAGCTCTCCACACAGGCCTGTAAATAAACTTTTCCCTTAAGTTCAGAAAAAAACTCACAAACACCTTTTCCTCTGCTTATCACACTGGTTAAAACCATTATTTGGACTCAAAATGGGCTGCATATTAAAATTTGTACTTGAAGCACAATACAAAGGCATATGCTGAACAACTGGACATTTTAAGAAAAACTGAACAATATTAAAATCCAAACAAATCCATCCTTTTATTCAGGTCAGTGATAAAGAGAACTTGGAAAAAGTCTTTACATTTTTTTTTTCTTTTTCTATCCACTGTTTGAGAATAATACTGAGGAGAAAGCAATAAACTAAAATATTAGGGGGGACGATCTCCAACCACCAGAGTTAAACTCACAGCCACCTCATCAGGTGCTAAAAAATCCCTAAACTTTGTTGATGAAGAATAATTTTTGTGACTACTCCCATAACACACTATCAGCTTACAATTCCTCATGCCTAACAGTGACTGTTCCTTATTTTTCCTTGTTTAACAAATTATCTCAATCTACCCTGTCTTTCACACTAAGCTGTATACAAGAACCTGATCACCAAAATAAATGACAGCACTGTATAACTAGAATACTTTTTGCCTAAAAGAAGTGTAAAATATTAGAAGGCTAGAAAAACATGTCTTGCCAAGAAACTTCAATTAGCGTATTCATTTTTAATACTGGGCTCTAAAGAGCATCTAACATCTCAAAATACCCGAACTGGAGCTATCTGAACTGGAGAGAGAACTCCAGATGGAAGGAAGTTTCTTACAAAAGGTTGCATATATCCAGGAGAAAAATTAAGACAATTTTACACTCTAACAAATCTAACATAAGACTGTATTGTTCCCCAGCCTCCCAGTTGAAACAGAATGAAACAACAGATCAATTCTTTCTTTAAAGACTGGTAAAATAAATTCAAAAGGTCAAAATATTATCAAATATAAAGGAACATCTGATGAAGCAAAGTAAAATCCTTTTGTACGACTTCACAGACCAACAGTTTAAAGAGGTTTCCATAGTTTAATCTGTTGAGGGTCTCAGATTATGCAGAAGTAGCAGTGAACATTTAAGCAGTAATGAAACAGTTGTGTTTTTAGCTCTCTTGGAGCTGACAAAGAACCTAAAGAAAACACATGTGGAGAACACAGTCAATACTTAAAGAGCTTCAAGGAAGATCCAGACTGACATCTCTGTTGCACTAATTAGTAAACGACGTAATCAAGAATAGACTTAGTGGACACAAACAAATAATATAATGGGAAAGATTCAACCTGGTTGTCACTAAGGCAACACAGCCTGGAAAAGAGAAGGCTCAGGGTGACCTCACTGTGGCCTTCCAGTACCTGAAGGAGTGACAGAGAGCTGGAGAGGAACTTTTTACCAGGGCATTTGTGACAGCCCAAAGAGTAATAGCTTCAGATTGAAAGAGGGGAGGTTTAGCTTGGATATTAGGACTAAATTCTTTACTGAGAGGGTGGTAAGGTACTGGAACACATTTCGTAGAGAAGCTGTTGATGCCTTGTCCCTGGAAGTGTTCAAGGCCAAGTTAGATGGGGCTCTGAACAGTCTGGCCTAGTGGAAGGTGTCCCTTCCCATGGCAGGGAAATTGGAACTAGAAAATCTTTAAGGTCCGTTCTAACGAAAATTATTCTATGAATATGTGACCTCCTGCTCTGCAGAATTAATGGAATCTATTAAGAGTATGGGGTAGTACAACATGGATAAACTAAATGATACTCTATTTGAGATTCCAAGTCCCTCACTTAAATCTTGAGGAAACTAAGCAACCAAGCGAAAAAAAGGGAAAGCTCTTGCATGCACATGTATCTCAGAAACAGCCATAAACTGTCTAAGCAGTTTCCTGCAGAAAATCACCTCCAGATCCCTGGGAAAAACCTGCATTGGTTTATGCTGTTCAATATATTAATAAATGACCTCACAAAAGGGGAAGAAGACTGTTGACAATACAAAGCCATACCAGTGAAGAGAAGGGCTAACTGAAGAACTGGAGTAGGACTGTGATGTACAATAAGCAGAAGCAATGCTTAGAGATCAATATAAAGCAAAGCCTATGTATCTGTGTGTAGGAGAAACTTATAGGTTCCTACTGGAATCACAGTCTCTGGGCTAGTAACTGCCACCCACAACAATATCTGGATATAGGACAGTTTACTTTAGATCAGTTGGACTCTTTAATGCTCCCTACGGATCAATAAATAGTTAGAAAAATAAACAGAACACTATTGTGACAGGGCACAGAACTAATTTGTGCCTGTATTTCAAATACTGAGAGCAGGGTTAGTTAACTTTTTTTAAAAACAACCAAATCAACCTTAAAAAGTAAAAAAAAAATCCCTTCTGAGTAAAGTAAAAAACAGCTCAGATAAAGGCAAGTTAAAAATACATGGAATAGCTTTCATATAGTCGACAACTGATTAGATCAGCCTCTTCAGTCTGGGGAAGATGCTAGTTATAGCCAACAGGGGAAACAAGACAAAGGCCTACCAAATGAATGGCTCAGAGAAGTTGCACAGAGATTGTGCCCTCTCTTGCCCAATATAAAAATAAGGGGTCAAAAGGCAATAGCTGAAGATCAGATCAAAACTAACAAGGTTAAACTGTGTGCAAATGATAATCAACCTAAACTTGCCACAGGATGTTAGAGATCCAAATGTTTTACACGGGTTTATACATCCAGATGTTTTATAGGAAAGACTGTGCAAATGCATAAAACAAATATACTGAAAGTGATTAAATTCAGATACATAACCCATGTAGTCCAAACAGAGCAGAACACAAGCAGAAGAATCTGGTATACACAAACCTAACAGTGCTATAATAAACTTAGTCAACATCCTAAGAAACCAGCTTTGAAAGGCTTAGTAACACCTAGGAAAATGCTGGCTGGCCAGCAATTAAAAAGATGAATGCCACAGGATGAAAGGCACTTTACATGGCTCTTCACAACTTTGATTTCCTATCTGCAGTCAGATATCATCTGGGGATAGCTAATTAGACACTACAGCCCCCTGTAATTTAGGGATATACACAGAGGGTTCTTAAAATGGCATTAGATACTAATTTGTACAGTCAACCAATCTATACCTTAATGTCTTTAATTTCTGACTTTTCCCTTGTGATGAGCACAGCTAGTTGTATTTGATCAGACAATCTGCTATACAGTCTCATTGAGGCCAATGCATTTCCCTCACTTTACAAACTTTAAAAATTAAACTAAGGAGAGAATGCATGTCCCTTCAGCTCTGCCTTGGTCCATCGTACAATCCTAAACTGTTTAACACGTGAACAAGGTAGACTGCAAATCTGAACAGAGATGTACGATTTCATTAGGATGACAGAATCCAATTCCACCAATTCCCCCTATACAGTGGGTGATTTCTGATAGCAGACAACAATCTTCCCTTCTTCTCCTTTTATTCTCTTCAATCTTCAGTAAGCAGAAGGACTAAAGCAATAGCAGCCATGTCTCCTGAGAAGAAGCTGGTTTGTCCCAACAGCCAACAGACAGTACCTGTGCAAAGTTTTCTTGATGGTTCTACTGGTATT